TGTATGAATGAACTTGTATAAATCTAGTTATCTCCATATCTTTGTGGGTATGTCACCAATGAATAATTTTCTGTATCTTTAAAGATGAAATTAATTGTGCATTTTCTAATTTCTATGTCCTTGATTTATTAGGCAGGTTCAGGAGTTTCTCTGTCAACAACAAAGATTCTTCGTTGTCTCTTAGAGGGCACTGCAGCTTCTCATGTGGAAAACATCGGTGATGAGGAAAATGATGCAAATGAGAATTCTAATGATGGCAGCTCAGCAGGTAGGGTGAAAAATTGTTCCCTTTTTTCAAACTATTGTACTCATTAATTGCAAAGAAACATTATTTGAGCCCCCTTTTCCTAGGATTTCGTTTTCTTGACAAGTTTATCTGAACTTTCTTTATCTGATGTTCATCAGGCAAAGGTTCCTCTAAATGGGTGAAAGTAAATGAGAAAAGAACACTTCATGATGTTCTGAAAGAACCTAACTTTGTTATTCCAGGGATCCCAGGTCGGTCTTTAGCACACAGTTACTATCGTATCAGTTTCATTCCTTTCATTTTTTCTTATGACAATTGTTTGGTTTTTCCTGGACAGTGTTTTTTGTTGTTTCTAAACGTTCCAGCTTCTGTAAAGAGTTCAAAGCTGGGAAATGGGCTCCTCCACCTTGAGTTGCTGGTTGGTTGTCTCTTGAAGATAGGCGATGTCTATTACGATACGAGTCAAAGCTAGTGATACCTGGGTATATGACTAGGCGTCATAGTTTTCGTTCCACAAGAATGCCCGTGGTGAAGGCAAAACCCTGGGGAAGTCACAAGGTTGTACAATTGAGATAGCTTTCCAAATGTTTGTATTATTATTAATTGAGCTAGTGCATGTACCAAAAACATGAAGACCGAAATATAGACAATTTTTTTTAAAAATCAAGTATGTTTCCTGATTGTTTTATCATCTTATGGTTGAGACTTTTCCTTGTCATTTATTTTACACTTTAATAGCAATTGACCAATCAGACATGGAATATTCACAGATTGGAGCCAGGTAATGAAACATTGCATAATTATTCATGCACAAAAGGAAAGAATTTTACAGCAGGCGCATTAAAGTGTTCTTTTATTTTCTTTTGCCATTTATTAAAATTTGAAACGTTCATGTAGCTTGGTTAAATTTCTCACGTGGTGTTATATAGTACAGAATGTAACAGCGTTACAGTTTCTGATCTCCAAAATAGGAGGAAAATCAGTTACCCTCCGTTTGGATGCGGGAAAATAACTCGGAATTTAGCTAAAAGTCAGGAATTTAAGAGAAGAAATTGACAATTCCCTTGTTTGGCAACTTAAGCGCGGAATTTATTAAATGACGCGCGGAAAAAATCATGGAAATTGAGGCATCAAATTCCCGAGTTTAATTTCCACCAAAATAGACGTCATTTCACAGTTTCCATAGTACGGGAATTCATATTTTCCATGGAGCCAAAACTTAAATAAATAAATAAAGGCCAAACTTTTCATATAAAAAAAAGTCATTAATCACTCTGTAGTTGTTTGCTAGCTTTATCACTTTGTGTTATCGCCTTGCTCTGTAGTTGTTAGCTTCATCTAAAACAAGTCATTAATACCCTCATAATCTTAATCGTTTATTCCTATACTTTTGTTTGCAACTTTTTAATCGAAGCCCTTTTAATTTCTCTGGTCATTGGTCTTTTGGCAAGTGAAAAAGAAGAATCAGGGTCTTGATTGCTTCTAGTTCTAATTCCATAGGTACTAGAGAAGTGTCTACACATGAAAATATTGAATTAAAGCTGATTGATGATATTAATTCAGCAATACCTTGTGTATCAAATTCTACTGATGAAGTTATGACTCCTACTGATGAAGTTGATTATGTTGATTTGGATGGTGATACACAAGATTTAGAAGATATTCATGTTATTGATGACAAACAATTTCAGATGCTGAAGGCACTCCTAATTGAGAAAAAAGAGAGTATGTTGCTGATGTTTATTGCACGTGAGGAGTGATTTGGTTTGCTAATATGCTCTGTTTGTTTAAGTTGAGTTATTTAGTTCATCAAATGATATGTTATTTTATACTTTGAGGAATACCTTCTATGTCGGTTATCAGTTTTTATTTTTCTTTCGAAATATTTAATTTCTGTCATTTATAATTTACATGAGATATCCAAACATTGAAATTTTCAATTTCTGTCATTTACAAAATCCGATATACATAAATCCAAACACTGAAATCTTCAATTGCCAGAAATTGAAATGACGGAAATCTAAATTCCGTCATTTTAGAATTCTATGTAATTGGCAATTCCTTCATCCAAACGGAGCATTAAGGAATTACGGACCTAAGCGTATTTGGTCTCCACTGGACTTCTATTTCACTAGGGAATCTTTTAGATTCTCCTAATTCTTGTCCATCCACCTCTGGAATTTCTTGGGATATTTTTGTCACAATAAATAGCCTTAAGATTCTTCACCTCTCCACATTCCCATCTTCCTCCTCTAGTCTCTTCCATGGCTGCTATCTCTTGCTCAGCCTCTGACCTCCAACCCCTTTTGGGTGCAGCTGCCAATGCCACCGCAGCCGCCCAATACATCTGCGGCCGCTTTGATGCCGTTTCAAACAAGTTTGCTGACACAGCCTATGCTATTGACAACACCTACCTTCTCTTCTCTGCCTCTCTTGTTTTCGCGATGCAGCTCGGCTTTGCCATGCTCTGTGCCGGCTCTGTTCGTGCCAAGAACACCATGAACATAATGCTCACCAATGTCCTTGACGCTGCCACAGGCGGCCTCTTCTACTACCTTTTTGGTTTTGCCTTGGCCTTTGGCACCCCCTCCAATGGCTTCATAGGCCAACACTTCTTTGGCCTTAACAAGTTTCCTTCTCAGTCTTTCGATTACGGTTACTTTCTTTATCAATGGGCTTTTGCTATTGCAGCTGCTGGAATCACAAGTGGTTCCATTGCTGAAAGAACCCAATTCGTTTCATACTTGATCTATTCATCTTTCTTGACTGGCTTCGTCTACCCCATTGTTTCTCATTGGTTTTGGTCTGCTGATGGATGGGCAAGCCCTGCTGGTGCTGACAATCTTTTATTTGGTTCTGGGGTCATTGATTTTGCGGGCTCTGGTGTTGTTCACCTGGTTGGAGGCATAGCAGGCTTGTGGGGTGCTCTTATCGAAGGCCCCCGCATAGGCCGGTTCGATCATGAAGGTAGGTCTGTGGGTATGCGTGGACATAGCAGCACATTGGTTGTTTTGGGCACATTTCTGCTTTGGTTTGGTTGGTATGGCTTCAATGCAGGCTCATTCCTCAACATTCTCAAGGCCTATGGAGAGAGTGGATCCTATTATGGACAATAGAGTGCAATAGGAAGAACTGCAGTGACAACCACAATGGCTGGATGCTCAGCAGCACTGACTACTCTCTTCGGGAAGCGCTTACTCTCCTGTCATTGGAACCTCACCGACGTTTGCAATGGCTTGCTTGGCGGGTTTGCAGCAATCACCTCTGGTTGCTCAGTTGTTGATCCTTGGGCTGCAATCATTTGTGGGTTTGTGGCAGCTTGGGTTTTGATGGGATGCAACAAGCTTGCTGAGAAGTTGAAGTATGATGATCCATTAGAAGCAGCACAGCTTCATGGAGGGTGTGGCTCATGGGGTATTATATTCACTGCATTGTTCGCCAAAAAGGCGGATGAAGTCTATTCAGGGCAACCAAACAGGCCATATGGGCTTTTGATGGGAGGAGGCGGAAAGCTCTTGGCTGCACATTTGGTTCAGATTGTGGTGATTGTAGGGTTTGTGAGCTTGACAATGGGAACATTGTTTTTCTTGCTGCACAAGTTGAAGCTCTTGAGGATTTCATCAGAGGAGGAGATGGCAGGAATGGATGTGACCAGTCATGGTGGATTGGCTTATGTATATAGCGAAGAATGCAACGATCCGGCAATGCTCAAACCTGGATTCATGGTCTCAAGGACAGCTCCTCCATCATCAGCTGTTTGATTTGAGTTTTGATGTTCCTAACCCCATAAAAAGAAAACCTTAACTTTTGAAATTACCATAAGAAAACAGAACACATAATGAGTGAAAATTAAGTTCTAACTCAAATCAAATTATTCAACATGCTGTTGCTTTTAGTATGTAAATACATTAGGCTGGTCAAGCAAGACAACGCTCTGTGTTAAATCATCCATGACCGCATAACACCCGTATTGTCCTTCAATTCCAAGTTTCTTAGGGTTCACACAGACTGATATTCATCGTCGTCAGCCATCATTCTGATTCTGAGCACAACTTCTTCACCCCTTTTTCTACAACCAATCAGTGTAGAAACGCCTGGATCCAGTTCCAGGCATATTGCAAATAGTTTAGCCCATGATTTGACCACACCATACTCTTCCATCACCCACATGTGAACGTGAACAAGGCAACCACAACCAACACTTTCTCTCCACTCCCGAGAGCTTTAGTAATATGCAAGGGACTTTCTGTACCTTGAAACCATGAAATGTCCTTGAGCAAGATGGGAAATTGTTTGCGCTGAAGCTTCTGGTGGTATGGCTATCTTGCCGAATACTTCATTGGACATATCAAATGACAGAAAGGGAACGTTCCCGGTGTGCACTCTGGCTTGAATCCAATGCAGAGCTTTCATTATGCTACATGGAAGCAAAACAGCAATTTAGAATGCCAAAAGTGCTTTAGCATAGACTCTATGTTATTGGTAGAGCTCTGGGCCAAATGTTTGGACTAAGAAGAGAATTGGGCCTGCGATTAGATCAAGTCTAGAGGAAATCACGACATTTTCTGGTATTTTGAATGTTATTCTCATTTAATTAATAATTTTAATTTATATTTGAATTAATCAAAGACATTTTCTGAATTAATCAAAAACATTTTCTGGTATTTTGAATATCTCACTGTTGTCTACATTTTGCTTTATATATATATAGATTCTAACTAAATTATCATGGATCCAATCCAATGGCTATTAAAGCAAACCCCCGCACATTACCTTCATATATAATCGTTTTTCAGAAGTAGTTGTCTTAGCCAAAAGAAAAGGCCGCGAAGAAAGATGAAATCTTACAATCATTTCCATCTTCAAATTGCCTCGCATAACTGGGTTGATGACTGCCAGTCATTCATACCCATATAAACTTTAAGGAGTAAGTCCACTTCTTTCTATTTTACATACACAATACTTTCTTTTCCCAATCAACCATATTTTGTTTTCCATTGTAATTGAATAAGTGCCATGCTTTGTTTTCTTGTCTCTGAATGGGAATGTGGGGATGGTTTGAGTGGAAGAACTCTTACATTGGGGATTTTCTACAGTCCCACTGAGCCCTCTGTTCCTTTCTTTCCAAGCTCAGGAATAAATTTCGTCTCTCTGCTCATTTTTCCTGATAGTAAGCACACCCAATTCCTCTATCTATTCAATGAAACAGAACAAATATAATGGCAAGCAATTAAGCAGATTGTGTTTGAAAACGTATGTTGAATGGTGTAATGATTTTTATGGAATGCTCCTCTCAATTTTTTTCGTTGTTTCCAAGCATTCCTGTTTGGGTTTCATCCTACAAAACAAAAGAAAGGGGGTTTTAGGGTTCTCTGGTTTTTGCTTTTGTATTTTTGTATTCTTTAGTTAGTTAGTTTTTTCCCACTTTTTCTGCAAAATCAACAAAAAGTTATCAACTTTTCAGTTCTTCATTTTTTAAGATGTCAGTAATTTTGGTTCTCTGAATATTTTTTTGCTTATTTTACTTTTAAAGTAACATGTAAAGCTTTTGGATCTTAATTTTCTTGTAATCTGTACTTCTGGGCTTTGGTTCATATGAGTTTTTGGTGGAATTTGTTCAATTGGCTACTCATTTTAACGTTACTGTAAATTTTAATTCCTAACTTATAAATCTCATAGATATCTCATGCACTACAATTTCAAGAATAAATGGGCTTCCTTTTAGTTGTAATGTCTGGTCTTTGAATCCTTTCAATGACAGTGCTTTGGAAGATTTGAAGTAGCGCTAAGAACTGATAATTGGAAAAGCACAGAGATTTAGCAATGACTAAAACGTTTCTTCACCTTTGGTAATTGAAAGAGCTTATTATTATCGCAAGTAAGTGATATTCTATGCCAGATTTTGTTAGAAGTTTTTAATTGGCAAGATCTTCTGCTATATGACTATTAAGTATGGACTGCAGGGTTATCTGGCATTTCATTCTCTTGGGTTTCATATGTCACACCCAATACTTTATTAATTTTGTTGGGCCAATCAGTGGTCTAATTGTGTTTGTCCTTATATCACAGAAATTCTGATTTGCTTCAAGTTTGAATGTAACTTACATTACTAGAAGGGCTAAATTGTACAATGTTTCTGGTATACAAGTCATTGTAGAATTAGAGTAATTATCTTTCTTTAGATTGGCACTATCGTGAAAACTGAATTGCTACAAACCCAAAGCACAGTTTCTATGAAAGCCCACAATGAAAATAATCACGAAAAATATCCAGATTAAGAACACTCCAAATCTTGATAACTTTATTTTTCGTTTAGTTTCTGAATGTTACTGTTGAATGATTCAATTGTTTGGATCTCATTTCAATAGGGTAGAAATTAATAATCGGATTATCTGACTTCTGCTGTGAGTGCATTGGAGCTTTGATAATGTTTTGAATATTTGTCTTTGGCCGCAGTTAATGCTGTTATTTGTGAAATAGGACATGTAAGAATGCTAAAACGCAATGTCCAAGACTATTTCTCAATGAGTCAATGAGTACTTGTAACGTGGTCCTTCCTACACAGAATCAGCCCCACAACACAAAAACCCAAAATCCCTCATTTTGTATCTGGTTTCTTATCTTTTCTTCACACACAAAGAGCCCCCTTCCCCTCAGCCATTCCCTCTCAAGCTCTTCCGCCTCCCAGCGACGCTGCAGCCATTCCCTCTCCAGCTTTTTGTTGTCATGCAAGTATCTCTTCTCATCTGCGTCATCCACGTTGGAAAGATTTGAAAATTTTGCACTGTTTATGCTTGATTTCTCAAATTGGTTGGAGTGGTTATGGGTATATTTATTTATTTATATTTATAAATGCTGTTTTCGAATTGGCGTTTTTATTTAGTTCTTCAATTAAGGGTGCTGTTTGTGGCATTATTATCATTTTTATGTCGTGTGATTCATTTAACCTTAATTCTGTTGTTAATTTCGTCTGCTCTTAACTATTACTTTTTGTTCTTTATTTCTGTGCTTCTGTTAATTCAATAGTGATGTTATTTATTGTTTATTTTTAAGTTTGTGTGTTCCTGTTAAAATTAGTTGTGATGTTAGTTGTATTTTCAATGTGGTGTACTTCTGTTAATTTAATTGTATTCTGGGGTCTTCACATATTAGGACATATTGGAGCAGTAGTGAACAAAAAGGCCCACACGCTAATATGGTGGACAAACCGGTCTAGTTTTCTAAATGGGCCTAATTAATGTTATAGTTAGTATTGAAACTCATTAAAATTACAAAAGCTATCACTGGCCTCTTCACCAAAGCTTGAAATAAAAAACTTAGAGAGTTCCAAAGCTTGAAACTCAGACACTCTAAGATTTTGCAGTCTAGAATCCAAAGGAGGAACTGAAGCCCACCGATTTTTCAATTGAGAAGAACTTCATCAAGAAAAAAAGAGGAAGAATCAAAATCGCCACCAGGTAACTTCCTATGTCTTTTGTTCTCAGATGCACTTGTTTTACTCACTCAGTTTGTTCTGGAACCTTATCACTGTGAATAATGCATCTGCTTCAAGAGTTCTCGGAAACCCCCAAAATTTCGAACAAATGCAGCAAGTTTCCTCCAATTTTGTTTCAATTTTTATTTAATATGTTTTAGTCTGTCCCAATTTTGTAATGCCCCAGTTTTGTCCAGTCTACATTACCCAACATTGTAGAGTTTCCTTGTGATTCATATTTCTTCAAAAGCTGAACACATAGGTCTGAGCTACCCCATTTATGAAGGGCTTGGTAATGGATGTTGAAGAAGTATATCTAATGTGGGATGAGTTACATAGTATAAATTATATAATTTTGATCTTAAAGTCTCCCTCAGCCCTAGAAATCCTATGCAGAGGAGGAAGATTAACTTTTTGGTATCATCATGTATTTTGTTTTTGGGTCTGGTTATTAGATTGTATTTATTCCCTTATCTTAGTGTTACTAATTGACTAAAACAAATTAAAGAAATGTTATTGGCGCTGAAAATTTCTCTTTTTCTTGCAGGAAATTTTGCTCATTACTAGCCTAAGAATATGAGAATGGCTGCTGCGGCCACTTCAAGGGCTTTTCTCTTCTCCCACCATTACCATAGCCTCCCATTCTTCTTTCCTTCTTTCCTTACTGCATCTAGGTTACCCACTCTTCACCGTAATAACTTGAGGAACCCAATCCTTCTTTCTACCGTCAAGTGTTTGCAGTCCTCATCTGGGCGTCAAAATGTGGTTGAAATTCTTGAAGAGAGGGGGCTGCTTGAATCTCTAACCAGTGAGCATCTAAGGCAAGCCTGTTCAGACCCCAGTCTCCCTCCTCTCAAAGTCTATTGTGGGTTCGACCCAACTGCTGAATCCTTGCACTTAGGTAACCTTCTCGGAATTATTGTTCTCTCATGGTTCCAAAGATGTGGCCATCGCCCCGTCGCTTTGATCGGTGGTGCCACAGCCCGTGTCGGAGACCCTTCCGGAAAGAGCTTGGAGAGGCCCGAGCTTGACCTGGACACTCTATCTCTAAACACCTCAGGAGTTTCTAATAACATTACAAGAATTTTGGGTAGGATTTCCATCTTGAACAATTATGAGTGGTGGAAAGAGGTTCGGTTGTTAGAATTTCTGAAAGATGTGGGTCGATATGCGAGAGTGGGAAGCATGATCGCAAAGGAGAGTGTGAAAAAGAGGTTGGAATCAGAACAAGGAATGAGCTACACTGAGTTCACGTATCAGTTGTTGCAGGGCTATGATTTTCTCTACCTTTTCCAGAATGAAGGCATTAATGTTCAGATTGGGGGTAGCGATCAATGGGGAAATATAACAGCAGGGACTGAACTCATACGCAAGATTCTTCATGCTGATGCTGCTGCTTATGGCTTGACATTCCCTCTTCTGTTGAAGAGTGATGGAACCAAATTTGGCAAGTCCGAAGATGGTGCCATTTGGCTTTCTCCATCCATGTTGTCTCCTTACAAGTTCTATCAGTATTTGTTCTCTGTTCCAGATGCTGATGTGGTCAGGTTCCTCAGGATTCTCACTTTCATGGACATGGATGAGATCAAACAGTTGGAGAATGAGATGGAGGGGCCTGGATACTTGCCCAACACAGCTCAGCGCAGGCTTGCTGAGGAGGTCACCCGTTTTGTACATGGTCAAGATGGTCTTGATGAGGCCCTCAAAGCAACTGAGGCGTTGAGGCCTGGTGCTGACACTAAATTGGACTGGAAAACCATTCAAGCTATTTCTGAGGATGTGCCATCCTGTTCTTTCCCTTATAATCAGGTCCTGGATCTCTCTCTTGTTGATCTTTCAGTGTCGTCTGGTTTGCTTGACAGCAAATCTGCTGCCCGGCGTCTGTTGAAGCAAGGGGGGCTTTACTTGAACAACTCAAGAGTTGATAATGAAAATAAGAGAGTTGAACCTCAAGACATTGTGGATGGGAAACTTCTCCTTTTATCCGCGGGCAAGAAAAACAAGGTTCTTGTACAGATATTAAGCGACACCTGAGGTGCCTGCCTGATGATGGTATGTCTGATATCTCTTAGATGTTTTAACTTTCTACAGCTAATATCTTCACAGATACAAATGTTCAACATTTTAATTGTGCCATTGAGAACCACCTGATATCACGTAGTTACCTTAGCATTGACTTGCATATGTTTAAGCTTATGGATTTGATTTACTGTACTGTAGTTGATGCATTGCATAACTTTTGGAACCCAGTCTATTCTAAATATAAATAGAAATTTGGAGTTGGAGTAGTGTTTAAAACTGCTCATGCGTAAAGTATTATCAGGGCTTTTTTCTTTTTTCCTCTTTTTTCGTGAGTGTAGCAGTTAGAATAGATACATGTTGTTGGTTAATTTCTGGGGCCTTCTATGTTTTATGGGTTTCCCTATCTATGTTTAAAGGGTAGTGTTGGCTGTCTTCTTGGTTTTGATATACTTGTTTTACCTTGTCCCTGGATAACCACCAATTGAGGCATCAAAGTTACTAAGTTTGTATATTAGATGTTGGTGCCAAGCATTTTCTCTTCTATTATACTATTTTGTTCTTGCTGTGACTAGTGATTCAACTTCTTAACGTTTTTCTGCTGTTTCAAAAATAAAAAATCATCAACTTTCAAATTGGGTCCATAACCTAATAATCTTTTAGACCAATCTTTTTCCACTGAATTTTCATTTCAATTTTGTTTTTGAAATAATCTGTTCCAAGTTAAATTTTTGTACTGTTATTGTTCATATTTGAAGCATTTATCATTCATTTGTTACTTGGACGACAATCTTAATGCTTTCAACATGTTGCTGGGAAGTTGCTTTCAAGCTCATAATGCATTTTTTAAAACGAGTTGTTTTCTAATAATCGTCTCTCTCTCTCTCTCTCTCTCTTATGCTTTTTAGTGGGACCATAGAACGAAATATTGGGGAATTTTTTTTTTTAATCAGATTCCTTTACCACTGTACTTGCATTCCTTAAGTGATCAATTTGGCATTACCTTTTGGGTTTTCATTGTTGGTATAGTGTGATGTTGAATCATTTTGGTTTGGCAACCTGTGTTTAGGTTGACTGTAAATTATTGACAACAGGTTTTAGTGCAATATCAATGTTAATATGAATGTTGGGGCTGAGGAAAAAAATTTCGAAGTCACTGTATTTGTTATATTAGGAAATCTGCCTTGGTGTAAGTCGGTATTTACATCAAGTGACAACAGTGTTGAGCAACTTGGGATTGATTTTGTCATCACATTTAAGTGAGCCTAACAAGTCCGTTTGATTAGTTCCACTGATATTGCCTTCACGTTTTATTGTGTGACCAAACTATGGTTAACTTTTCTGCATAAGAAAAAGTTGGAAAATATGTGAAGATTTTTCTTGGGCAAATTTGTCGGTGTCTCCTATCCTATACTCCCTTTTTGCAGTCACCTCTTCATTCTGACTTACTGATGATGACTCTTATGTCTTTGAAATGCAGCCAATTTTAGGTGTGATTTGTGCCCTCTTCCAAGCGGACTGTATTCCAGTAGGTAACTTGCTTTCTATGATGTAAATCTGGTGGAAGTTAAGAGTTTGAGAATTTGGACCTTAAAAGCATCCTCTCTTTAAAGATGCCATTTTTCATAGTGATTCTTGAAAGCTAGTGCTTCAGGTTGAGGCTTAAATGCAAATGTTTCCCTCAGTTATATTGATAAGTTTTCGTTTGGTCATTGATTTGATTTGACGACAGATCCCTAGCTATTGTAACCCTCCTGTATATTGTTGGGCTTTACTGCTCTGCTTGCTTCCCTAGGCATAGAGATGGGGATTTTTTTTTTCCGGGCTAAGCTATGGTAGAGATAGATGAGTTAGCAGCGGAGATCTTGTCTTCCCAAGTCTTAATTAGTCTGATGAGGATATGGATGTATGGTATGGAACTTACATGGTCTGATTGGTCTCACGAGAAATTGACTTGAGGGCAGTAAAGAATTGATGGTCACCATATTTTTAGTTTTATTCTAAACTCGGCACTTGAATAATGTGTTTACAACCCGACATTTGGACCTTAAAAATTAACATGCATCATCAGATCTTCTCTTCACTATCTGAACTTTAACAAGAGTAAAAGAAAAGGAAAAACAAACAAACGTAGTGCGTTAGATTGAAGTGCCTCCACTTCTCAGGTTGGTGCGCTCACCGTGCTAACAAATGCATATGAGAATTGAAATACGCTAGTTGCTGGGAGTTGGAGTCTCTTGGCTTCAAAGAATTATAGACCTTGTGTGCTTGAATCTTGCTATTCTTTTTTCAATGCAAGTGAGGGGGTTTCTCAAACTCGTACCTACCAAAGTGCTATGAGAATTCAAATATGAGATTACTGGTTTACAAGTCAAGGCCCTTTTCCAATAGGCTAGACCCCGTTGACAGCCTAGTGGAAAAGGCCCCCGTTGTGAGCTTTAATATGTTTGCAACAACCGAAACCGATCCTTGCAGTTTAAATTTCAAAGGAAAAATTCCTTATGCATTGGCGTTTTATCAAGGTTTTGGTGGAGTATGTTGGACGGTAGGAAAGAAAGGGTAGTGAAATGACCTGCCAAAAAATCTGGGAGTTTCTTCGTTCCCAAGACCATTCACTATGTATGTCAACTTGTCAAGGAAGAAATCAGGAGCCCTATCTGGTAACGAGAGGTATCAATAGATGCAACTTTTGTTGCAAAGAAGCAGAGAGCATCACGCAATGGTTCCTTTTTTAATTGCAACTACGTCACATGCAAGATTGAAGCAATATAAGATATGTGAGATTTTGGTTGGTGTAGTCAAAATTGTCTCCAAAGTTACTGAGACATCTTGACTGAAAAATATGAAGTCAAGATATTTACTTAATCCTACCCGGGTTTTTGATATTTTACTGTTTTTTTTTTTCTGGTCCAACTCATTCAATCATCACACAACCCTTTCCAAATACTATAAAAGGAATCCTACCCTATCCAAATACTATATAAGTAATGCTGAACCAGAATAAACAGAGCACCTTAAATTCAGTCTAGAACATATTTACATCTTGTTTTATTACATGAAAGAATCAATATCCATACCTTACATCTGCACATCTACTTACATCTACAACTAGCTTTTAACACTGCCTTTCCACACAACAGACACTACTATATACATGTGTATTTTATTTCTTCTGTACGACCAAGTGATTTTTATCAAACCCACTTCATCACATGTTATCGGTCAGATGTATATACCAGGGACCATGAACACCAACTGATATAGTGGCTGCCACCACTAAAACTTCAGCAGCTTCCACTACGCTGTCAGTCAGTGCAGCAGCTCCAACTTGCCGGAGTGCTGTTTCTGCTAATTTTCTTCCAACTGGTCCACTACCCCCAAGAACCACTCCTCTTGCAGCCATATAAACAGCACGGGAAACCCTTTCAAACACAGGATCTCCTGCTTGCAAGCTCTTTGCTAGCATCCTGCCAATAACTGCCTTCCTTGACCGAAGCTTCTCAGTGTCCACAACTTCTTTGCTGTCATTCGCAAAATCACTAATTGATTCAACAATTTCTTCCATACCTGCATTTTCAACACTGTCCAAGACCCCCAAAAGTCGCTCAATGCACTTTGATACTATGCTCTCCATGTCTGAAGGGCTGGTTATAACCCTCTCACTTAACAGGGTTTGCCGGCAAATAAGGATGCTGCATTTTGAATGATTTACTAAGAATTAGAAAGCTGTGACATAGTCAAGCCAACCAATGTTTGGAGAACCAGAAAAAAAAAAAAAAAAAAAAAAAAAAAAAAAAAAAAAAAAAAAAAGGAAAAAATTAATTTGAATCATTTAGATACATTACTTTTATGCACACACAATCCACTAAATCCAAGGATACCATCAGTTATCATTGGCAGAAGAGCTACCCCTGAACAGTGTCACTCCGGTAGTGATACTTTCATCCATTATTTCTCAGTAACATGAAAGATACCATCAGATACCTTGGCAGAACAGTTTTTCTGAAAATTATTCTATATTGTTTTTTACTTTGCCCAACAGGGAATTCCAAGATTTTCATGAGAGAGAGAGAGAGAGAGAGAACTCTTAAGTTACTCACCTTACAGAAGTAACAATAATTTTCTGAATTTGAGCCTGAACAGCCCTCAGCCTAGACAGGTTAAGCTTGAAAGTCTCAGGCAAAGCCTCTTCTGTCAGACCAGACACACCGCTCACTAACTTCAATAAACCAAGCCTCACCAACAAATCAACTCTCTCTCCCTTACATTCTGGTTGTTGATTACCTGATACGAGCAAAACACATGTAAAAAAAATTTGTTTGTAAATTGCAATTACAAACTTCTTGAAAGAAATAATTACGAAGTAATTCCAGCACTCGAACCTGTGATATCTGTAGCAGATGTAGAAATAGAATCCTGATTTGGTTTCACCAGAAAGCTTCCACCACTTCTCAGGGCGGTGGAAGGAACAAACCCCTGAGATGGGCCACCACTGCTCATCAAAGTTGAGCACGAGATTGTATGTTCTTGCCACTCCTGATCTTTGCAATTCCACACAGATGAAAGCCACTGCACCGTCAGTGGTAGAGAATTATTGGCATCAGAGGGAGACCCATGGTGATTGGCAAAAGCATTTCTAAGGTATTGCACACCAGTAGGCCCCTTTAACAAAGGTTCCATAATTCTTATACGTGCTTTGCTAATCTCCTGTTTAAGCACCTGTCACAAAAATCCAACATTACATGATATTTGGCAGAACTTTGGTACTTCAAATTACATTATGTATGGAAATCAAATCCACTGAACCATGTTGTCTATATAAATATAATGGGAAATATTTAAAATACTATATTTTGTAATTTGAAAGATGAACAACCAAAATGTTTACTGTAGAATTGAATGATCTAATCTATTTTCAATTCTCATGCAATAATCCACAATTACTATTACAAACAAACAATACATATGACACCAATAATTTGATTAAATAAAATATGTGAATCATCATGCCAGAAGGCATTGCGACTAACCCTCCTGAAACTTGTCCTCGGTTTCAGTGAAGGTTTGTTTCTATCAGAAAACGAACAAAAACATAAGTAATTTCAGATGTACAACAAAAACTAGAAAAGAGAGAAGGCATGAAAACATACCTGAATCTGCTCTAGGATAAAACGCAGACCCTTGATCATTGCTGTCACACTTGAGAAGTTGGACTCATCCTTGGTTTGACATATCTCATCCAGCTCTTTCCTTAAACTCTGGTGTATGGCCATCATTTCATCATCATTTGCTGGAGCAGAGAGCCTTCGCAAAGTGACCAATGAAAACTCTAGGATCCTTCCCAGGTAATCAATGTCCAGGTTACCAGATTTTAGCACCTAAGAAAAAAGAAATGAAAGTTAATACTCTGGACATGCTTGCTAAGTTGCTGTTGGCAAAGACAATCGATGGTGCTGCTACCTCTGACAGAATATCCACATCAATAGCTTCAATAATCTCTTGTTTCCAGCTCTGTGGAGCCATCTCGCAGATTTCATCCCTCACCTCCCTCATGAGTTGAATAATCCTGTCATAGTTGGGCTCCTCCTGTTTTACAGATTCAATTATGCCATCCCAAAAAGCCTTCTCCATTGTCTGTCTTATTTTTGACTGGAAAATATAAGATAAACAAAAGAGACGAGTGATTAGATTTCTAATTCATCATCAGTAAGTAGGTGTACAGCAACAAACTAAATTTTCTTTTCAAAATCTCTAGTTTGGTCAAGAACTCATATTTGTGCATCAATAGCATAAATAGATGAAAACAGCATTACTCATCATTTGTCAACATCCAAAGCAATAAGATCTACATCTTTCACAAAGCCACCGATACTATTACTAATATGAAAATGCACTGACCTGGACATTGTTTTTATCTTTGCCAGTAACATTGAAGATATCAGCAAAAGCCTGCTTCTGCTCATGGAGAAACTCATTCACGATCAATTCATTCTCTGTGACCAAATTTTGGGAAGAAGATCCAAGCTGCAGACCCAAATTGGGTTTTGGAACAGAGGACATAGCTCCCTCATGATGAGTGGTATCAGCTTCCCTAAATAAGGAACGAACTACACGACTTGGCTTCTTATCTGAGCTAGCAGCAGAAAGACCAAGTTTTTGACTAGGTGAGCTCGGAGAAATAATGTGTGTGGTCTGCAACACCGATGGGCTTCCAGTTTCCTTTGCTTGAAAGTAATTTACCCTTGTTTCAGATAAAGCAGAATTCATGCGCTCAAGCCCAGCATCGCCACTTAGGTGGTGCACTTTTTCCCTCAGTAGCTTTTGGTCTTCTGTAACCTATGCCAAGAGAAGATTCAAAATGTCAGCCAATAAGTAAAATGAAAACACTGCTAAATTTTCAGAAAGAAAAAAAGTTGAACAACAATTCCCCCCTATGCATAAATCGAACAGTACTAAAGAGATCTTTACTCACGGTGGACCAAACCTAGTCTTCAATAAATGTACCTTTTTTTATTAAAGAAAAGAAAGAGAAAAAAATCGACACAGGACAAAAGTACTGTACCAAAATATAGAGCTAGCATAGTACCTGTTTCTGAATAGCCTTCATATCATGAGTAAGATCACCAGTCTCTCCTTCCGGGGTCATCTTGCAAGTTTGAATCATAGAGAGTTCTAAATGGCACGCTGCTCTCACCAAATCCTCCACCAACAACTGAGCATCCTTAACCTTCCACACCACAAAGGAATTCAAGTAGGAGCACCATGCTTTATCAAAAGCTCCAAGCTGAGATCTGAAGGTCAAATGTTTGGGCAATGCGGAGTCAGCCTCATCATCAGAACTGTGCATTGGACCCTCCAATATAACCTTCAGTAACAACTCAAACTCTCTAACAAAATCTTCTGCAGATTTGGCCAGAGAAATTTCACTCTCTCCTCTACCACTGAAAACCGCATCTGGATGACCCAGAATCATGTAAGCACAAAGAACCACTCTCACCGGATACCTTGATAATTTAACAGAAGTTCTAGCTTTGTCCCTGATGGAACCTACTTTCTTCGCTTCTCTACTTCTTAAAGATGTCCGTGGTGTAGTCCTCCTCTTTGGGGAAGCAACTCGTTTGAGAAGGTGATCTATGTTATCAAAACTGGATGGATAATTTATAGAGGCAACAGCCCTGGAAACTTTTAACCGGCTCTCCAGTCGGTCAAGTAGACCCTTCACCGTCTGAAGGGTATCAATTGATTCAATCAGAATTGCAAGCTGCTCAAATGGCATTGACTTGACACTCTTTACATTAATTTTCAAAGCATCATAATCTTTTGCCAAAGCAAAAGTAGTTCTCCTCAGCCTAAGGAAACGTCTCCAACACCTGTTAAAAATCAACAGTGTTTTAGACTGAAAGTTGTAGATTAATCAAGGGTCAAGAAAAGAATAAAAGCACTTCTATCTGCATTCACAAACTACAAAATTTTCAACAGAATATAAACATGTGATATTTAATCTAATTTTCACAACCACCAAATATAGCACGCTAATCTCCGGTATATTTTACAATAAAAAACATTTGCCAACCACAACAACGACTAACATCTTTGCCTTCGCCAGGGTCATGAGACATCTACTGGGAAAATTAACCACAAGGCTACTGACTTGGACCCAATGACGCTTTCAGAAAGCAGAGACAAATCTTTGAACTCAATATTTCAAAGGATACATACCTAGCTAACTTTCTGGAAAGGAGATCAGCCTGCTTGTGCATCCTATTCCAACTCAATTGAAAAGAACTCTGTAGCTTTCCTCTTTGCCTTAGATATTCTGCTCTTTGTCTCTTTGCCTAAATATCAAAAACATTATCAGGGAACACTGGAACAACCAGTAAAGGCAACCAGATATCTGACAAATAAGTGGTGCTTATGTAATCTCAAATGGAATGCATACCCTTTGCAACCGGTCTTCTAACTGATCTCTCTTTGCCCTACTTTCAATCTCACGCTGGTGAGAAACAGACTTAGCCACACTTTGCACTTGCAACATCCTTGCACAGGCCCTCTTCTTCTCTGCTTCCAGAAGTCCCAATCGCTTTTTTTCAGCCGCTGCACGTTTTTGGTTAATTGCAGCACATACACGCTCTTTATACTTCTTCTCCCTTGCTGTCTTTCGCAATAATGACTGAGATGACCTCTCCTTCAGTGTGGCCCTTCTTTGTCTATAAGCCTTGAGCATAAGCATTCTATTTGCCTCTGCCTGTTGAAAACGTGATTCCACTTTGGAGCCAAGCTTTTGACGTTCCTTCTCAAAACGCATTTCCACCCCACTTTTAGCTGCTTGCCGCAACTCATCCAACTTAGCTAAGCGCATTTGAGCGCTTTCCAGAATGCTCAACCTGTTGGTTCAACAGTAAGCAACAGAATACTAGAGATTACACAAAATTGATCAAGTCCTGGAGACTGGAGAATGCATGGTCAACTGACGGATAGTCTAATCTTGTCCCAGTCATAATATAGCGGGGATGAAATTCTTAAGCTATGTAAATTCAAGTTTTACCTTTTCTTTTCAGCAGCTTGGAGCTTGGCTTCTAGGCGCTGACCAAGGTCTTCCTCTTGAGATGAACATCGAGAGGGACTTCTTGGCTTTGCTCTTGCCTTGCTTGACAACTTTTCATAGTATTCCTGTACTCAAACAAATTCATGAAAGTTGGCAATGTCAGATTTTAGGCTAAAAGCTACATACAAGTGACACAACAAAGAGTGAGGCCACAAAACTCGTTGTTTGCGAAGAAAGTGAAAATTATCAGTAAACCAGAGATGAAAGTATCATTATTAATCCTTCGCCAAGATAAAAAGAAAAAGAAAAAGACAGGGCATTTTTCCAACACTTGAAAACAGAGACACCCGTGTGGTAAGGAAGAAAACCCAGGTTTTCAAACAACCTCACCTAACACCAGCAAAAGCCAACACACTTTAAAATAAAGGTATAAACGATTTATGAAAATTAAAATTAAAACAAAAACTGCAGCCCAATGTGTTTTTGATCTACTTAAGTCTAGAGGGAAGAAAAAGTCGGACAAATTCACCCATAAAATTTTAGAATTAGGTTTTTTCTCAGTTCAATTCCGATCAAATAGATTGTAAAAGATAACAATAGGGACAAAAAAACAACTTGAATATTATCTCAAAATTCGGAGCCACAAGTCAAGAAAAAAAAGTATGAAAATTTAATGACAAGTCATGGATCCTTAATATTGAACTACACAACTCACAGCATCAGGTACAAGAATTCAAAGAAAAAACAGTTCTTGACTGAACTATTTGGGTCAGTTCAGTCGTTCGATCAACCAAACTATGATCAAATTTTCTCAGTGAGCAAACAGAAAATCACAAACTCAAGAAAAGAGAGAGACAGAGAGAGACAGAGGGAGAGAGAGAGAGAGAGAGAGAGAGAGAGAACAAAATCAAGGAGACAACTTTTCATGCGGGTAAAAAGAAAAAAAATGAAAATTAAGAAATGAAAAATAAAAAACGAAAATAGAAGAGAGATAGAAAGAAAGACCTGTCGGCGAAGATCGGCGAGCCGGAGCTTGGTTTCGATTTGTTCGGCGGTGTTAGGAGTCTTCTTACAGTCGATGAGGGTCAGCCGCCGTCTGAGCCTCCTGGGAAGTCTTGGAGGCGAGGAGAACGACGCCGTTTCGTCTGCCGGGAAATCCATGGCTATACCCCCCACCATCTGTCACGCCGAGTTGATGATCAACACGACGTCGTAGAGTGAGAATTGCGAGTATGTTTATGTACGAATCAACAGTTTGAACGAATTAGAAGAAAGTGGCAAACGCAGAGGGAGAAAGGTCGCGACCACTCAGCTTTTTCAATTTGAAATTCGAAGCTTTCGCGTTTTGTGTTGTTGTTGGTCACAGATAAAGAGAGCGAGATGAGAGAGAGAGAGAGAGAGAGAGAGTTTGGTATTTGGTTTGGTTTTTGGGTCTGGGTTCGGATTTTATATTATGTTTTTTGTGAGAAATGAAAAAAGCGTATAAGAAAGAAGGTGTGTGTAGAATGTGTGTGTTGTGTGTAATGTACATTTACTTATCCCGAACTATCCGGGTCTTTGACACGTCATCTCTGGCCCCAACGGCATTATTTTAATCTTTTCTTTTGGCTTTTTATTGCGTAATCGAAACATACGAACCACGTAATTCGGACCGAAAAACAAAACAAAAACGAACCACGTAAATGCACTACACCGTTTAAAATACATGCTTCAAAACAAAGGAAATATATATGTACGTATATAATATGTGAACGATGCATAATATGTGTACATATATACGTTTGCACTCAAACAATGCATATTTTTTCGTATCTTTGAGAAGTGTATGGAAGACAGAAGTAATTTTTAAAAATACGTTAGTACTCATATAATACGCAAATTAACTAACTAGGGTGATAATTATTATTGACGCCAAAAAGTGGTTTTTTGACTTTGAAAGTCAACTTAGTAATTTTATACCTTTGGTATCCTCGTGGTCTCGGTATAGAGAGCGATCTGCAAAAGTAGCAAACGCTCGGTAAGACCTAGGGCACCAGTGTGATACCGGCCGAAGGCTCTCCAATGCTTAAATAAGTTCAGGATTAGAAAGTTCAACTGACAGATCAATAGGCTTGTATGCCGTAAGTTTTGATTACCTCTATTATGGGGTAGTGGACCTCCTTTATAGGCCTTGGGAGGTGTGCACTTTGTTGATAATTTCGATGTGGGATTGTGGACGTCACTTGGGAGCATGCCACGTGTCCCAGGAGGGGGTGTTGCCCTAATTGAGCGATCGGTAGGCAGGGTGCCGAAGGCTTCCCCGACCAGGCTCGATTTTTTCCACGTGTCTTGTTCTCATTGACTGTTCATTTTGGGTATAAACAATCATAATTGTAGTTCACAATTTGACAAGTGGGGAAAAGTATTATTATAGTTTTGTGGACTTATGCTGCCTTTTCTTTATATCATTGTCCCCACATGTTTTGATTTGTTTGACAATTTCGGCTCCTTTTAAAACACATTCACTTGGGTTTGGTGGAGGCATATAATAAACCTAATTTGTGGCCCCTTACTATATATAGTGTTAAGTTATAACTCATCCAAGAAGTGATATACAAATCAAAATTGGGTACTTCTCCTTTTCATTTATCAACAAGAAACAGCAAAAAAAAACCAAAATGTATAATACTATATACTAAAGAGAAGTGCGGTGAATAAAAAAACTCATTTGTTTCCCATTAACTAGAACGCACTTTAAATTTCTTAAATCGTGACTTTGACATGTATATATAAATACATGTGAAGAAAATGTACTTAATTGCATATTCATATTAATTTGCGGGTCAAACTCATTGATTTAGGGCAAAATGAATGCTTGACATGCTACAAAATAGATCACTTTCTCTTATCGTTTGCTTTAACTGCAAATAATATTGCTCGGAATCTTACGATTTGTTTAGGACTTTCTTTTCCATTTTTTTTATTTAAAAAAAAATTATTGTAATAATCAAATGTACTCACAAAAGTGTGACCTTTGAGGTTTGAGTGCACTTCAAACATCGAAAATTTTATCAGCCAATTTTTTTTATGGATGAATTAAATGAAAATATATAGAAATATAGCTATGGGGTATGGCCAGCACTTCATAAGAAAATATGAGTAAAACAGTAGCTTCATTGAATTTGTTTGGCTGCCAAATCTGACCACGGTGGCAAGTTTTCCATAAGAAAAACTTAGACAATAAATAAATAAACTTGATTCATCGAACCTAGTCATTGAAAGAGGTTCATAGTCATTCACACCACATTCAAAAATTAGTATGCACTATCTATGATTCTTTTTTTTTTTTTTTAAATTGCTCTCAATTCGAGAGGTACTAATCGCAAGGAGCATGTAGCTTAAAAAGAGGTGTGAAAGAAAAAAACTTGGTCAGCTAAGGACGAAGAAAGAAAAAAAGTGTACAAATAATTCAATCGGAGGGATTTTGTGTCATGCTAACTTGCAAGTTGCAAATGAGATTGACATATGGTGCTTGATGTGAAATGAATATAGCCATTAGATCGTTTGAGTAGCAACGGACTAATTATAAGATTTTGATATGCGATCTCTCATGTTCATTTGATAATTTTCATTCACTTTAAATTAATTAGTCATAATATTAGGTAAGATCCAAACTTGTATATTAAGGGCTTGAAATTCTTCTTTGATTTTGAATTCATTTGGGGTCTAACATTTAAAGCATAACTCTTCTAAAATTAAAACATAGCACGTATTAGAGCATCTGATCAACAAGTATTTAAAAATTATAAATATTAATAAAAACATGATATGAAATATATTATTGAGGAAAAATAACTAGTACAACCATAATTGTAATACATATAACATTTCAGATATCGGTCTAACCAAGTAACTTACATTCCTTGTACAAAGCGATCAGAAGGACCCTCACCCTAATAGAGCACCCCCACATCCCCTTTATTCCTTGGTCTCACAAAAATTAAGAGTTATTATGATCCTCATAAAGAATATCAGTAATAAAATCCGGAAATTCCTCATACCACGTTCTTCTCTCTCCTATATGTACATAAATATAAACGTTTCTTAACCATTTAAGTTACAAATACATTCTCAACCAAAAGAAACATTGGTATTAAAGGAATTGCACATCAAAGCACATTATTAGGCACGTCTTTGATAAAGTAATTAATAAATGGCACCTTCAAATGCAATGATACTAAGGAAAATGGCTACCTGTCACACATGGGAGATCAATGTGGTGCATATCATATGCTACCACATTTTACAAACGCCATGATAAGAACAAGTTGATAACTAATAATTGCTTGCCATTTCTCCATATTCTAGTCATGCATTGAAAAATACTAAAAGGAAACTCTGTGGTCAATCGTGAATAGTTGGAATATTGTGGTTATTTTTATAATAATAATAATTAATCAAGTCAAAAATAATAGAAATAGGACTTGCCTTGACGCTTGTGATGAGAGTAACCAATCTCCCTCTAAACTTTTTTGTATTTAAAAAATAAATAAAAAAGGCGAAAAGTCATTCCTTGAACCTAAATTGATCCCTTTTCTTGTAAATGCATGTTCGAACCACCCTGCATTTTTCTTTCATAGACGTGAATAGCACATGAATGCATAGCCTTTGCTTGATTAATCAATTAAACTTGAGCCCAAAACTTAAAAGGGACAAGATTCCCAAAACTTCGATTCCAAGTAATTCTTTTTAGGAATATATAAAGTGAAAGTCATGAGATTGTTAAATTATAAAACATATAATATATATAGCGTAAAATATAGAGGGAATAATTACATTTCTTAATGCTTTATAGTTTGGCTGTTTTCTTCATTGCTTAGTTTTGTTATCTCATATAAGAAATTTTAATACTTTTTTGTTTGTATGTAATGCATCTTAAGTGAATGGGGATGGTTCCTCACACAACCATCCTAAGTACAAATTGAAAGAAGTGGAGATTCCTCTCCACCTCAAAACCAGTTGGCAATGGGGGAGTAGCCCAACTACTTATAAACTTTCAAAACAATCGTGCATCCTTTATACTCAACTACATAATGCATGTCCAATATTATACTTCGAATAGCTGAAATGATTTAGAGAGAATCACGTTTGAGACGAAGATAAAAAAAAAACCACTTTGAAAGCTACACCCTCAAGCATTCGAAAAACCCAATTTCATTCTCGAGTGAAATTAAGTTTTAAAACCTAAACTTCATCAGGAAAAAAAAAAAAACAAAAAAAATATTATGAAAAAGTAAAAGAAACTTGGCGGTGAAGTTTACACGTGCTTTGGCGTTGGCCACGGCATCAATGACTCAATTGAGAGGTCCCTTTCCCTTGTTTTCCAAGTGGGCCGTAGACAAGCGATCTCTTTAGTCTGGTCTAATACCAAGTCGCGCGAGTAGCCATCATAGCTTCATACTCGCTTTCTCTGGATCTCTCACCTGCCCTATCAATCTCATTCATTACCAAAACTGATAAGTAAGCGGGTTATAATTTAATTTATAATTCTTTAAATATTGGTTAGAGAGAGTTGGTATTTGGCATGTAAGATTCTTACGCTTTTAGAATCTGGGTTTCACTATGTTAATGCGGCATGTCGGTTGATCACCACATGTGATGCTGATTTTTGCATTTTCATATTGCTTGTAAGCCTCATTAGTAGAATTTTAATAGCCAAACCCCCCTCCACTTATTAGGAAAATGGAGAGGTGTCCTTTTCTTTGTTCTGAAAAAAATGTCTTTATAGGCTAGTTGTGCAGCACAATGAGCTCGTCGCTTTACATTCAAAGTCGAGTTATATTCCTCGTAATTTAGATTAATTTAGAATAGCTTAAGACTATTACTTGTATTGAAAAAAGACATGTATACAAACACTTAAGGAAAATAATAATAATAATAAATTGGAAGAGTTTGGTTGAAAAAACATGCCCAAACTATACAAGAAGGAATTGTGCTTTTGGACCAGTGGTCCGCAGTCGAGTAAATGGTGGTGGCCCAAAACGAAACGCCAACTCAGAGGACAGGTGGTGGCTGAATGGCGATGCCACGAAACTGATGTTTTATTTGACCACGTTTCAAAGCTGCAAATGCAATATTGCAACTGTGCCCATCCAAATCATGTGCAATCATATTATAAATAAACTATTTAGGCCGCTGGGAACCCAACCGTGGACCCAGTTTAGTTTTGATAAAGAATGTGAGGCTTGCTAATGGGTCCAACCAAGTGGAGTGGATAATGGACTTAATATGCAGATTAATGATCTTAGGTTCAAATTTTTATGATAAATTAATATTGTGTGTGTGACACCCCATTCCTCTTATTGCAATTTAAACTATTGTTTTATTTAAAAATAAAAAAAAGAGAGGCTTTGGGGTTAACGCAAATGGATGGTGGCTATTAATTATTCA